TATTAATTAAGTTTTAATCCCTACAATCATTGTCATTATCGTTGAGTGCTCTTAAGATCTTGCCAAGATCCTAGCCCCACTTGACACTGATATAAGTGATTTTATTAAGTGTATGCTTCAATTCATACATTACGAATATGAAAATCATTAAAATCTTTATAAAAGGTTAACTAATCACAATACACCCCCATAATAATTACATTATCATTGTGTTGTACTTTTAGGTCATGCACGTTCTCGGTATTCATAAATGTTTTAGAAATCTCGCCAAGATCTCATATAAGTGGTCTCACTTGACACTCATTTAAGTGATTTTATTAAGTGTATGCACAATTCATACATCATGCATAAGGAATATGAAAATCATTAAAAAATTTATAAGAGGTCAAACTTTTTCATAATTACATAAAACTTAACTATAAAGATTATCCTCTCATTAATGCAACTTTAGTACTTTCTCACACCATAGGAAGAGATTAAATTTTTTTTTTATTAAAATCAATTTTAGTTCTAAAAGAACAAACAAATAACTTATATTTTTCCCATTAAACCTTCTTCACGGGATCTCCTATCACAAAAGTTGAGTTACCATCATTGTTTGTTTTAAGTCACTTTAATAAAATCTTATTCCCCTTAATGTTTATAAATAACTCATGATTCATGTTTGAAATTAATATATGTTGTCTTACATGTTTTTATATTAATTAAAATTTAGTAATTGTTGCTCATTATCTTATAAAGGTAACAAAGTGTTATTTTAAAATAATAATTGCATAATTAACTATACAAACACAAAATTGATTAAAGTTCATAAGAAATTAAAAGTTTTGCTTTAAATTTAACGAAGGAGATGTTAACTATAGAAGATGAAGATATAAATAAATAATATAAAAATACATATTGTTTTTTTTTAAAGAATTTGATGCTCACGAGAAGAACAAAGATGATGAAGGAGAAACACAAATCAAATGTTAAGTTAATCTCACTCAAGAAAGATTGGATAAGAAATATAAGAAAAAGAAAACAAACATAAAAAAAAAAAGAGAAAAGAAAAATTTGAAGTTAAAATCCAAATTGATTGACAAAGAAAACAAACATAAAAAAAAAAGAGAAAAGAAAAATTTGAAGTTAAAATCCAAATTGATTGACAAAGAAAGAATAAATTAGGGGGGTGTATTGGATTAGGATTTTAAAGGACTTTTTTAGTTAAAAAAAATCCTGCGGATTTTAAAAGACTTTGCAGGATTTTCATGACTTTTAAGATTTTGTAGGATTCTATAAGATTTAAAATCAGGATTTTAATAGATTCTGCAAGACTTTTAAATCAGGATTTTAATGGATTCTATAGGATTTTGTGGAGTTTTGACATTTGATAAGATTTAAAAAAAAATGCATACATTCAAATTTCAAAAGAGTCAAAGACAAAAATAATAAAAAAAAAATAATGTCTAGATAAATAATAATGATAATTCTCCATAATATCCTATCCTCTTTTTATAGCATCCACTATCAATTGTAACAATTCATCGGAATCCTCCTTGGTCCAAGCTTCATAGTTTTCTTTCTCTTTTCCTTTTTCTTTATTATTTCCTCGTGAATCTCCCATTTGAATTACTAAAATAATATATGTTGAAAACTAGTTATATAAATAATTATGGATAAGAGACAAAATCAATAAAATTATATTATATTATTATTTTTAGAAGCATATCAATCATACAAGATCGAATATATCTTGGCTATCTAAATGGATCAAATACCTCGGTCATTATAAAAAAAATATGTAAAAACGGAAATATAGAAACATAAGATAATTTTTTATATAAAAAAGAAATTAGTATATTCGATACTGAGAAAATATTTAGATATATAATTTTTTTTATATAAACGAAAGTATTTAGATATAGAGAATATATATATATATATATATATATATATATATATATATTATTTTAGTTATATATTATATAATAATTTTTAACGATATTTATAAATGTAAATTATTCTAACAAATATTTTAACAATATTTCCTTTTTTTAAAAAAATAAGCTAATGAAGGCATAAATCATAAACCCTAAGAAATTATATACTGCAATGTCTTATGTTATTTTTTTTTAAATATAAAAAAATCCTAATTTTACAATATAAAAATAAAAAGAAAAATTCATAGTAAAAAAAATAAAATAATTGTTGAGTCATAAAAGGAGGAGGGATAAGAGTAACAAATTCAAGGGAAGGAGAGAGATCACAATTTTTATGCTGAGAGGGTTTTTCCCCCAACTAAGATCCATTTTTATCTCATTCTACTCACAGAAACCCTAACAAATTCATCTTATATATATATATATATTGTAGAGATTATGATATCAATTTCATCTTTCACCTTTTTTTTTTCTTGACGTGTGTTATAAAAAAAATTACCACTTGAAAGTTAAAATTTCAAGCATTTTTTTGTGTTATATAAAGGAACAAATTCAACTATATAGAATAAAATAAAGCAAGTCAATTAAAGAGAACGAACAGAAAAATAGAGCAAATCAATGACACTATCATTTACATATCGGAGTTTCACAAAATAGGGGAATGAGATGAGAACAATACTACAATATTATATATGAGCAATGAACAATAGTGTAGTATTATTAGTAGAGAAAAAATGGAGAAGACAGGAGCATAGAAAAAAAAAAAATAAAAAAACTCAATTGAAAATTCTTGAAACACTTGAAAAATCACTTCAAACAATCCTTCAAAATCCGTTGGGTTTGGATGGGATTGTTTTATGAATCTGGTATTTATAGATAACACTAGAAAGTCCTTCAAAATCCCTCTCACACAACAATCCTTTAAAATCCTTATATTTTTGAATACCAATGGATTGTTTTTAAGTTGTAAAAAATCTCAAATGAATACCAGTGGATTTTAATGGACTCTTTAAAAAATCTTGAAAATCCAGATTGAATACCACTAGATTGTTTTTAAGTGACATAAAATCTTGATTGAATACCAATTGACTTTTTTACTCAAAAAAAGTCTTTTAAAATCTTACGAAATCCTAAACCAATACACCCCCCTTAGTTTTTTTTAGAAATATGTTATTTATGTTTTAAATATTTAGATTTAACTTGTTTTGATTCTTTTAAAATTTGTTTTCTTATTTTTAGAGTAATACTATTTTCAATCTTAATTATAAATAACAATTGTTAATTTTTAAAATTACTCAACGTTAATTTTTTTAATACCCTTCATATATTATTAATATTTACTTATAACTAACATTAAATATAATAATTATAAACAATATATTTAAAATAAAAATTAAATTTATAATAGAATTAATTAAAATTAACTATATAAATTATTTTTTAATCTTGATAATTTATCATCCAGTATAATATTAATACTTAAATTTTAATTTTGTATTAGAATTTCTCTCTCTCTATATATATATAACAACACATCAACTTATTCCATACCAAACATTTTCTGAGTGGATTGAAGAGTTTAACGAAGAAAAAAAAATCATATAAGATCAGAACTTAAATTTGAGTCCCTGTGGCTGCGCAGCATTTCAGTTTTACTCGTAAAAGGAGATATGCTTTCTTGTTTCTCCGATAATCTTCAAGGGCAGTAACTCATCTATATATTGTCTTGCAACATTCTCTAGCTTTTGACTTCCAACCAGAGATCCAAGTGCCAACCAAAGATTAAAAATTTGCATCCAAAATCTTTTGGATAAAGAGAAAAGAACGCAAAACAGTTGATCATAGCTCAACTTAAGAGCTGGTAAAATGTTCTTCCTTTCGTTTTAAACAGAATTGATTATTTTAATAATTATCTGTCTTATGTTAAAAGTCATGAGAGATACATATATATACACACCCACATCTTCAATTGGAAAAGTTAATCTACCCTCCCATCATTCAACACCAACTTTGCAATGTGTTCTTCCCCAATCCTCCAACATTTTGTGCAGCAATCTTCACCACCCGCGCATTCCAACCATTTACTTTTACCCTTTTCTTCAACAACTTCATTCTTTACAGTTATTAATTATTACAATCGTCTCATCAACTATATTCTAAAAATTAATGTCTCCTAAATTTTTTGACAAATATACATTTTCTATATATGATTTATTAATATTTTAACTAGTAAATTAATTTTTTGTAAAATAATAGTTTAGAAATAATTTCTATAATTAATATAATTTTGACAAATATATGTTAGTTTTTATATACTAGTATTTTAATTAGCTTTTGCGTGCATTAATTTCATAGGTTAAATGTTTATTATATATTACTGAAATTTATAATAAATTAGATATACAAATAAATATTACATTTAAATATGTAATTATATTTAAGATTTATATAAATAAATATTTTTGAGTAAATGAATTATATTTTAGATTTAAGATAAATTTTTATTTTAAAGCATAAGATTATTTTAAATTATTGATAATTAATTTTAAAATATTAAAATTTAATACATAAATAAATGTGATAAATAAAAAATTGAATTCATTAAGAAGTTAGAAAAATCTCTAAAAACCTCATTTGAAAAAAATATGCACAATTTCAACAAATATTTTAAAAATATTTATTTCATAATTTAATGCAAATTTTTAAATAGTTATAATATTTCATGATTATATCATATTATATTGTGAAACTGTGCAATGCACAAGTCATAATCTAGTTTTAATATTACTATAAACTATATATAAGATAATCAGAGTGCTATTTAAATTCCTGAAAATAACACCCATAAATTGTGGATGATAATCATCTCCGTTTAGTCACATATGTTTCACCAAGATGTTGCCTCTACACTGTTCATGGGACAAAACCTAAAATTAAATTGAATGGGACAAAAAACAAAACTAATTTTGAATGCAATCCCGAGTCCAATTAATTAAATATTAAAACAATTCATCATCTAAATATCAATATATAAATGAAAAACGTGATAAATGAAAGAAAAAGCACTCACCACAATTCGAATTTCGAAAAACATAACTAAAATCGATGTATTACACAATTATGATGATGGTTCTAAAATCAAATGTCTTTACTGAAAATACAAATTTATTTTCACGAAAGAAAAACTGAAAGATAAAGAGATATAATCAAAGAGGCTTACACCAAAAACAAGTTATCCATGTACGATTTGATGTGAACTATCATCAAGAATCACAATCTACATAATAGAAAGCACCCCTGAATTTATCAAATTAGATTTCTATTTTATAAAAAAAAAATCTAAAGAATAAATACATAAAATAAGGACTTTAACACTTATCTCATCCATCAAAGCATTCTTGTTGGTCTTGCTTTTTGTCTATTTCTTCTTACTCTTCATCTGAATCTTCAAGTATAACATCTCTGATATGTGATATTTTAGGCCAATACTCTCCCACATGAGGCTCACATTTTTTACATAATTCAGGACAACCTTGAATTATCAAAATTTCAAGTGCAGTGAGGTGATGGATGTTATTTGGGAGAGATAGTAACTTTGGACAATTTTCTATAACAAGTGTTTTTAGATTAGTCAAAGTTGACAACCACTCTGGAAGCATCTCAAGATTGTCACAATTGAAAAGGAACAAGGAGTGTAACAAGTTGGTAGTTTTTTTAAGCCATTGAGGCAAGCCCACCATTTGTGGTAAATCCCAAAATTCAACATATTTTAACTTCAACTCGGGGCTTTGTTCTTCATGGTGGTCCTTCCACAGTTCCAAGTCCAAATTATCACAGTCTTTGACAACCAAACTTTCTAATTTAGGGAATTTTTTAACATCCAGAGGCAAAGACTTTAGATTTTGACAGGAAGAAACACTCAATGTTTGAAGAGCGAGGAATTTCTCCCCTGTGAAGATAAACTCCAAATTTTGGCTTGACTGAATAGATAGAAATGCAAGCGAGCTTAAGTTGACAATCTCATTGGCTGGCAAAATAGATTGCTTTGTGGTTATCTCCAAATGTCGGAGACTGATCAATTTTCTTAATCCTTTGGGCAATGTTTCCAACTTTGTGCATCCATCAAGTTTCAACACTTGCAAATGTTGGAGCTTGCAAATAGAATTAGGGAGTCTCTTAATATTGTGACTATTCATGATGCTTAAATACCTCAAGTGTTTCAACTTGCCAATGGAACGAGGAAAAATCTCAAATGTTGAATAACTTAAATCCAAAACTCGCAAGTATTTGAATTTTGACACACAAGTATTTAGTAAAGTCTCACCATTGAATCCTATTGTATCATCTTGAAACAATATGGTTCTTACAGCTACTGATTTTGTGGTGAATAAACTACCAAGCAAATTTCTTTCAGCAAAACATAGATGTCGAACATTGTCAGGAATATTTTGAACATGAGAATTTATAAATAGACACTCATCTTTTGCAACAAATAGAGCAAGATCATGCACCAAATCATGTAGTGTAAATACATAATAAGTGCCAAAGCTCAAAAAATCTTGGAGAAAAGATCTTGACTGTAGTTCATATAAATATTGATTGGCAACATCTTCAAGTGTCATGTTCTTTTTTGGTGAAGTAAGGAGCCCAAGTGCTCCCCAAAGTAAAATTATCTCAAAAGTAGTGATTTCATAATCTTTTGGGAAAAGGGAAAATAATGCAAAACATTGTCTCAAATAGGATGGCATGAGATCATAACTTAATTTAAGTGCAGGTAAAATGTCAACTTTTTTGTGTGACAAACTCCAAATTTCACTGTCTCTCACATATTCCCATTCATTTGCCTCAAATTTTGAGAATAGTAAACTTCCTAATGTTCTCACTGCCAATGGAACCCCTCCGCATCTTTTTACGATATCTCTCCCAATATTTACCAAATGAGGATGCTTGTCCTTTTCTCCTTTTTGAAATGCCCATTTGATAAATAGAGACAATGAATCCTCTAAAGAAAGACCTTCTAAAATGTAAGAGGGAACAGTGCCCATCATGGAAGCAATGGAATGACTACGTGTAGTCACTAGAATTTTACTTCCTGCAGCACCTACTTGTATTAAATTTTCCAACTCAACCCATTTAACACGGTCTTCATTCCACACGTCATCTAAAACGAGTAGAAATTCTTTACCAAAAAGTCTGTTTGTCAATTGATTTTGCAGTTGCTCTAGATCCAACATGTTTAAATTATGTTGGAGAGGAGGGGCATCAGCTGAAGCTAAATCATTGACAGTATTGATAATTTTGATAATCAAGTGTTTAATATCAAAATCATCAGAAACACACACCCACATCTTGAATGGGAAACACTCATTTATTCTCTTATCATTGAACACAAACTTTGCAAGTGTAGTCTTTCCCAAGCCTCCCATCCCTACTATGGGAATAACAGAGAGACTTGTATCATCATCATTAGGCTTCTTCTGCATCAAAAGCTCTATGATCTTTTCTTTATCATGATCCCTTCCTATCACATCTAAATCGGCCACACGGGAGTGTGTTAGTTCTCTAGTATGAACAACACGTGTGTCAACATGAATTATTTGAAGGCCAAACTTATGCCTATCAGCTGCAAGCTTGTCAAACCTCTTGTTGATATCTTTAATATTTTGAGCCATCCTATAACGAAAAACAAGTGGATTAGAGGTCGAGAAGAAGTGACCTACCTTGTTTTTGGTGGTACCGTGAGCTTTGACCACTTGCTTTCGTAGTGTTTGGCACTCAAATTCATCCAACACATCTTCAGCATCGTAGAAGACACATTTGATCTGCTTCAACCATTCTTGCAATTCACGATTCTGCTCTTGCTTTTGGTCAGCATCTAACAGCATAGCCTGGACTAATGAGAGAGTTTTTTCAAAGTCTTTGAGATGATCGTATACACCCAACACCTGAGAAGCTTCTTCAAAAGCTCGAGAAGCAAGCTTTGCCATAAGGGACTCCGCAATGCTGAAGAGGAATGACTCCGCCATCGTTACGTTGTGAGAAACTCAACACCAGAGATAAGCAAAACACTTGTTGCAAAGTCAACTTCTGTGCCAAATCAATAATTGTACATTGCCTTGGCTAATGGGTTCCACAGTAATAAATGCCACCAGCGTGTAATTACTTTATAATATTGAAATACTAAATATTTTTCTTCCACTTGACAACTTGGTTGACACCTTGCACACTTTGAGAGACTTAAAAGAAAAATTGGAAGAACACACAAATTTGCTAGACTCAATAAGAAAAGCAATAGTTGAAAAAGACATTATCGAGAGTGGAAATACCAATAGTTGAAAGTGTGAATGAGTTTACAAGAATTAAAATACAAAAGGTTTCTTCACTCCGCCGTTGTGAAATAAAAATTGATTATTAATATATTATATTTATCAGCAAACTCTCACATAAATTTTTCAACATACAACATCATTTTCTTTAATGAGGATGCAAAAGTCTTTAATCTAGAAAAAACAGAACAAAGAGATGAGAACACTATTTAAGGAATATATTGGATTGAAATTTCAAATGATAATTTTAATATAAAAAAAAGTTTTATAGATTTAATAGATTTTAAAAGACTTTTAAGATTTTTTTTTTAAATTAAAATCAAATTTTAATCAAGACTTTATAATTTAGATTTAATGAATTTATAATATTACAAGATTTAATAAAAAAATATAAATAAAAAAAAAGTAAAACCAACATAATTATTTTTATCTTTTGACAAATAATTAAATTGTCTTTAATGTCCTTCTAATTAACATTTTCTCAATATCTAAAGTTATACTAGCTCTCTATGCATTGACATGTTATTTTTCATGTACTTGAGTCTAAACAATATGTTTAAATAGTCTTCATTAACTAGTAACATTGAAGATGAAGATTCATCTATTGATTCAATTGAATATTTATCCGACATTCTTTGCGAAAAAAGTTATGTAATATTATGTTAATACAAGTTCAGTTTGTGTGTTAAATAGAAATAGTGATCTTGACTTAAAATTTGTGAAGCGTGATTTAAAATTACTAAATATCATTTCAATCACATTTTTTAAAGATGCATGATATAAATTAAAAACCTCATTTTCATTTTGAAGGTCAATATCATGACGTGCAAAGTCTTTTTAATATTTATTTCAAAATTTATATTTCAATATTAAATTTGGTTTAAAATAAACAGTTAAATTTTAATAATTTTAAAATTTTAACAATAAATAATAGTTAATAATGCAAAAATCATTTTTAATTTAAATAATTTTTAAAATACATATATTAATAAATTATACATCAATTCATAGATTAAAAAAAAGATAAGAGAAGAAGAAGAACGGATAAATGAAAGAATGAATAAAAATAGAAAGAGAAAGAGAAGCAAGAAAGGTGAGGGAGGAGAGAAAAAATGAGAAGAAGGAGAAGAATAAATAAATGAGAAAGATGAATAAAAAGAAGAAGAGAATAAGATACAGAAGAAAAGAAGAGAAAGAAGCAAGAATGACGAAAATGACGAGAGAAGTAGAGAAAAAAATGAGAGAGAAGCGAGAAAGGCTAGAGAAAAGATTTAAGAGGAAAAAAAAAAGAAGCAAGAGTAAAAATAGCAAGTGAAAAAAAGTTGTGCAAAATCTCAAAGGTTTCGGTGAGATTATTTAATGAGTGAATTACATGTAAATTATGCTAAAAAATCTCATAAAATCTAGTATTCAAAATAATTCATTGAAATCTCTATATTTTTTTAATACCAACAAACTTTTTTTAAGTAAAAAAAAGTTTGAGTTGAATACCACCATATTTTGAGAAACTCCTAAATAGATCTCGTTTATCTTAATTGAATACTATCAGATTTTGATGGGCTCTTAAAAAATCTTAAGTATTTTGATTGAATATTACATGACTTTTTTATATTAAAATAAAGACTTGTTTGAATATCACAAAACTTTTTTTATAATAAAAAAATCTTTTAAAATTCATTAAAATCCTAATCTAATACATCCTCCTTAGTATATTTGATTCTTACCGATTCAATATTTATAGAAAAGATACCGATCGTTGTGCCTATAATTAAGTACAAAAATTTAAAATAATTAATTTAAAAATTCTTGATAATTAAAATTAATTAAAATTGCAATCGTTAGATTAAAATCAATATTAATTAAGTTTTAATACCTATAATTAATAAAATAATTATTTTAAATTTAAATTCAAAATAATTTAACAAATATATTAACCGTTTAAAATATTTAAAAATATACAGCAATCTGCTACATATTTCAAAAGGTTTAAAAAGATATTTTGAGTTCTTATATAGGATATAATATGGACCTAGTGTAACAAGCTATTGAATTAGACTTACTTTGATAAAACTTATCACATAGTGGAGTAAGTTTAGTCCCCAAAACACTTGGTGTATATCATAGGTTAACCAATCATAATACATCCCTACAATCATTGTCATTATCATTGTGTTGCGCTTTCAGGCCATATGCTTGCCCGATATTCAAAAGTGTTCTTGAGATCTCGCCAAGATCCTAGCCCCACTTGACACTCATATAAAAGATTTTATTAAGTGTATGATGCAATTCATATATAACGAATATGAAAATCATTAAAATCTTTATAAAAGGTTAAGTAATCACAATACATCCCCATAATAATCATTATTATCATTACGTTATACTTTTAGGCCATGCACGCGCTCGGTATTCATAAGTGTTCTAGAAATCTCACTAAGATCCCATGTAAGTGGTCCCACTTGACACTCATTTGGGTGATTTTATCAAGTGTATACTACAATTCATACATCACCTATAAGGAATATGAAAATCATTAAAATCTTTATAAAATGTCAAACTTTCTTATAATCACATAAAACTTAACTATAAAGATTATTCTCTCATTAATGCAACTTTAGTACTTTCTCACATCACAGGCATAGATTAAAAAATTAAAAAAAAAAATAAAATCAATTTTAGTGCTAAAAGAACTAAAAAAAATGACTTATTTTTCCCATTGAACCTTCTTCATGGGTCTCCAATCACAAAATTTTGAGTTACTATCCTTGTTTGTTTCAAATAACTTTAATAAAAATCTCATTCCCTTTGGTGTTTATAAATAACTCATGATGTTTAGTAAATAATATCTTCCCTAGGGGCTTGAAATCAAAGGATCAAGTAAATTTGACTACACATAATTTTTGATCTTTTAAACAATTGTGATATTACATTATTTCTTAATTTTATATTTCAAATATAATATTTGTTAAGAGGTTCTCAATTACTAAACTTAATAATCAACCATTTCTAGAATAACTAACTCTGAATCAACAATTATATATATTTATTCAACAATTATATTTGGTTGATCTCAAATTAATTTTAGTATAATAAGTGTAATGACACAACATTAGTGGATTTTTCCTCATATGGATCCAAAACTTAATTAATCATCATTGTATTTTTTTAATACATTAGAAAATCCACAATGTTAAGTACCATAATTTATGACATCTATCTAGCATATCAAGATATCTAGAAAATTTGTTAATAATTCACATTCTCATACAAATAACTTTGAAGAGTTAAACTCAAAAGGTTCACATTACTAATATCAGCATACATATCTCCAAAGTTAGAGAAAAAATGTTCATTATCACATAAAATCATTCACACTAAGATCAATATAATTATTTATCTATGTTGGTTCTAGGTGAGTCTTATAAAAATTATAATTTTTCTCACCATTCTTTTCTAAATAATATTAATTACATATACCATTCTTTTATGTATCACAATTATTTTCTCCACCACTTCACCATAGGCTTTCACACAAATAAACAAATATTTAATTTTCCTCAAAAACTTTTAATTTAATGCACAATTAGACTTCTTAAGCCATCAACATCGACCTTCCAACAAGAACTTATTAGCGTTTGACAAGATCAAAGTCATAACTATCAGCAAACAAAACACAATTAATGGTTTACTTAATTGACATCTTGTTCTCTTCCACATGTGACAACCATAGTAGTGCGCACAAGTCATGTTCTCCTTCACAACCATGTGCTTAACTCTCACATTCTTCAAGATTTTTCATAAACAACTTTAAGTCTTTTAATTTGTTGTCTATCGATGCTAAATACACGAAGTGATCTGAACTTCTAAGACTTGCAATGTATTATTTCAAAGGACTTATCTGCATATTCTCACGCAAGTCCTCAAGATACAACAGAATCTTTCTAGTACTAGATTGGGGATGTAGAATTAACAAGTTCTTAACTCAAAAAGGAGAGAATAGAGCAATGCTTAGTACATTAACTCTTACTAATTCTCAATATTTATAGGAGACTAAAATTAATTACAAGAATTAAAAATAATTAATTTTAAAATTGTTTGATAAGTCAAATTAATTAAAGCTATAACAGTCATATTATTATATTATTATATCTTATTAAAATTAATATCAATTAAAATTTAAAACTTGTAATTAATAAAATAATTATTTTAAATTTAAATTAACACTACTAGAATTTCTCTTATTACATGAGATTTTTCCTGCGAATTTTTATGAAAAATTCGCAGGAAACGTTGTTCTTACAAATTTTTCTGCGAAATTTTATCTGCAGGTAATACCTTCATGGATAATATATTTTTGCAAATTTTAAAATTTGCAGGAAATTTTCCTGCGAAAATTTCTTGCAAAAAAAATTTCCTGCAAAAAAAAAATTTGCAGGAAAGTTTCCTGCAAAAAAAATTTGCAGGAAAGTTTCCTGCAAAAAAAATTCGCAGGAAAGTCTCTAACGAATTTTTTTGCAAGAAATTCTGCAGGAATATATTTTACGAAAAAAATTAAATAAATTACTATAAATTCTATAAAATGCTCACAATGAATTCATCCGAAACATTTGTTTTCATGCCTCCAACATGTGATATATAATTTTTTAAATTCTAAGATTGTAGATTATAAGTCTAACACTTAACTATACAAATCAACTTGTAAGGTAAGTGTTGCCCAACTTATATACTCTTTAATTATTTTATTTTCAATCAATGTGAGACTTGAAATTTTTTTAAAATATTAAATTTATAAA